TCCTAGCTGAGTTGTAGCACCACACAAATTGCCCGACCGTTAATTCATGTGCATGTGCTTTCCTGTCGTAGACCTTCTTCTGCCTCCTTGAACTCTCTGATGTGTTCTCCCTCGCTCGTTCGTGCGCCAGCCTCATCTTGTTCCTTAGGTTTTCCGCATAATCCGTATCCAGACCGCGATCCAGCTCCCGATCATCCTTGCACAAGTCAGCGGAAAGGTCTATTGGCAGATGTACTTCTCGCCCTAACATCAACATGTTCGGTGTCTCGCCGGTCGACTCCTGAGGGGATGAACGGTAGGCGAAGAGAGCGAGGGGTAACTTCTCATCCCAATCTCTTTGCCGTCTGGTAGGTTCGATGGCCATGGACACAATGGTGATCAACGTACGATTGAATCGCTCAATTAGTCCATCGGATTTCGGGTTGTACGGCGTTGTCCGTGTCTTCTCTATGCCCAAGACACTACACATCTCTCTGAAGACCGCTGATTCAAAATTTCGGCCCTGGTCCGAATGCAAGACTGATGGGACTCCAAAACGACATACAAACTGGTTCACGAACTCAGTCGCCACAGTTGTTGCTTTCTGGTCAGGTATTGCATAGGCTTCCATCCATCGGGTGAAATAATCTCCCACAACCATTATGTATCGGTTTCCTCGCTCCGACTCGGGAAGGGGGCCCATGATGTCCAAAGCGACTCTTTCCATCGGCATGCCGACTTGGTGCTGCTGCAAGGGGGCCCTCCTGGTCTTGTTGGGTGATTTTTTAGAAGCACATACGTTGCATTGACGTACTGTGGACCTAACATCTGTATCCAGGCCAGGCCAGTAGAATCGCTGGCGAACCTTTGCTGTAGTCCTACGCGTTCCGAGATGTCCGCCTGAAGGCCCGCTGTGTATTTCTTGGACCATCATCTTCCTGAGGGCCTCAGGCAACACAACATGCCACTCAATCTGATCGCCTCTGTTTGACTCCCATCTTCTACAAAGGACGCCGTTTCTGATCTCGAGTTGGTCCCAGCATCGCCAATATGCCTTCTTCGCAGCTGAAAAGGAAGACATTGTACTCCAGTTGGCCCGGTCTTCTCCTTTCTCCTTCATCTCTATGACCCAACTCATGGAACTGTCATCTAGTTGTCTGTCTCTCATGTCTGCAGAGGTGATTGATGGCTCGAGGGTCACGGCGTTCACTTTCACTCCATTGTCTATGTGAACTTCTGGGATTTTCTGTTGCTCTTCCAGAGGTGGCTCACCTCCTCCACACTGCTTGCAAGCAACACATGGCCTTCTCGACAGGCTGTCAGCGTTGGAATGAGAACGACCAGCCCTGTGTACTATCTCTATGTCATATTCTGCTATGACCTGTAGCCATCGTGCCATCTGCGCCTGCGGGTCACGGAAATTCAGCAGCCATCTCAAGGCGCCGTGGTCGGTTCTGACAGTAATTTTACTTCCGTATAAGTACTGTCTGAAATGCTTGAGGTAGACAACAACGGCTAGAAGTTCGCGTCTTGTCACACAGTAGTTCCTTTCGGGTTTGGATAGAGCTCTGCTTGCATATGCGATGACTCGCTCCTTTCCTCCTACTTCTTGAGAGAGTACCGCACCTATGCCCACGTTGCTTGCATCAGTGTCCAGTATGTATGACTTTTCAGGGTCTGGGTATGCGAGGACTGGTGCCGTCAGGAGATGTTCCTTCAACTCAGAGAAAGCGCAGTCACACTCGTTAGTCCAGATGAATTCCCTGCCTTTTTCGGTGAGCTGGTGAAGAGGACGTGCAATGTTTGCAAAACCACCAATGAAACGTCGGTAGTATGACGCCAATCCGAGGAAGCTTTGGACTTCTTTAACAGAAGTTGGAACTGGCCAATCCTCCACTACTTTGATCTTTTCAGGATCGGTAGAGATGCCATCAGGTGACACTACGTGGCCAAGGTACAAGACACTCCTTTTGAAGAGATGGCACTTTCTGGGTTTCAGCTTCAACCCGGCATCCCGGAGGCGCTGGAAAACTGTCTCTAGTCTTGTCAACTCTTCATCTACAGTCTTAGCAAAAACAATCACATCATCGAGGTACACGAGTAGAACCTTCCAGTGTAACCCTGCAAGGACACGCTCCATAAGACGTTCAAACGTCGACGGCGCGTTACAGAGCCCAAACGGCATGACCCGCCAGGAGTAGAGGCCACCACGGACCACAAATGCCGACTTCTTCTGGGCATCCTCATCTAGCTCGACCTGCCAATATCCTGACGCTAGATCTAGAGTTGAGAACCATTCTGATCCACCCAGAGTGTCCAGTGTCTCATCAATGCGGGGTATCGGAAATGCATCTTTCACTGTCACGTTGTTGAGTCGCCTATAGTCTATGCAAAATCTCTTCGATCCGTCCTTTTTGCGTACCAACACAACGTTTGAAGCCCACGGGCTTTCTGTTGGCACTATGCTTCCAGATTGAAGCATGTCCTGTATCTGGGAGTCAATCTCTTGCTGTTCCTTTGGTGGGAATCTTCGTGGCCTCTCCTTTATCGTTGACGCATTCCCTGTGTTGATGCCATGGCGAACAAGGTTGGTCCGTCCAATATCTGTGTCAGATTTCGCAAATACGTCTTGGTTCTTGCGTAGAAGTTCGGCAATGTTATCGTGAAAGCTGTTGGGTACCTCTGTCTTGCTCCGCTTGAACAAATCAACCAAATGTGGAGGGACGTCACCTGTATCTTCATCGTTGGATGTGTGCATTGTCATGTCTACAACATCAGTCTTTTTCACCGGGGTAAAGTGACCTGCCACTGTGCCTCGCTTGATAGTGCATTCCCTGTCTCCGGGGTTGTACACTCGAATAGGTACTGTGTTGTCTGTAGATTCTGCCAAGATTCTTGCAACCATCACCCCTTTTCTTCCTACTTCGTTTTCCTCTGTAGGTTCTAGGATCCCGAGACCGGCTTCACCAGTATTCCCCTTAATCAATCCTGGGACCAATGCTTCATGACCCGGTGGAATCTTGGTAGTCTCCTCTACCACCACCCTGAAGCATAATCCATGCCCCAGCTTATCACTGCATTTGATTTTGTCTCCATTCAAGTCCAGTTGCAGTTGTTGTAAGTCGATCTTCGCATGTGTTGCTATCAGAAAATCCATTCCAAGGATCCCTTCTGCTGAGCCAGTATTGCCAAATATGACACGAATTGAACAAACCGTCCTGCCAACCTTTAATTCTAGACAGGAGCTGCCCATTGTCTCCATTCTGCTTCCATCAGCATTAGAAACGTTTGCTCCATACCTTGTCAATTCTGGCTTTTTCTCGTTGGGAATTCGGTAGTATACTGTGTTAGAAAGAATTGTATCTGTTGCTCCCGTGTCTACCAAAAGCATGGTCTTGACTCCCCTAATCTCAACTTCAACGTAGAGTCCACTCTGGACACATGCCCTAGACACATTATGTCTTTCCTGATCAGTTCTGCCCCTTTGGTTGTTCTCTACTGTTCGTCCTTTCCGGTTTTGCCCTTGTTTTCTTGTGGCCTTCCCTCGGGCTGCAGAGTCGGCTCGTGCTCGTTTCCCGAAGGATCTTGTCCTTTCTTCTGAGGACAATTCCGAGCCAAATGCCCCTTTTCGCCGCAATTGTAGCAGTTCCGAACTTCTCCACGTGATTGGTTCTTCCACGTTTCTACCTTGTTGTCTCGTTCTTCAAGTTTGAGCTTCATCTCTTTTAACTCTTTCCATATTTCTGTGAGAGGTGATTGCTGTTCCTCCGTCGATCTGGCTAGTTTGCGGTGGAACCTGCTTCTCCCACTTCGTTGGTCTTCAAGGCGGAAAAAGTTGTCCGTGGTCATAGCAGCTTGTATTGCCTCATCCATTGTGGTTGGCTGTGATCTGAAAATGCCCTCACGGATTTCCTGCTCCTCTATTGCTTCTGCAAAGTGTGTACGCGCCAAACGATCACGCGCCTCTTCTGGTAGTTCTGGGTATGCTAATTCAGACAATTCTCGAACAGCCTGACCCAACTCCTGAAGAGTCTCCTGAGGTCCTTGCCGCCTTGAACGTAATTCAAGGAGGTAGTTTTCAGCCATCTGCCCTGGGCCGAACCTTTTCTCGAGCAAATGAACGAGCTCCTGGTACGTTATCCTCGAGAGTTGCCTCTGGCTCCCCATGACTTTGATCGCTGCTCCCCTAAGGCTAGCAGCAAGGAAAATCTTGGCCTCCTCGTCGTTCCAACCATTCGCCAACTTGCATGCCCTAAAATGCTGGATGTAGTCGATCCATGGATTCTTCCCATCGAACTTGTCTGGCACAATGCTGGGTCGGGAAATGCGCGACATTCCTGTTTTTTCTTCATCAGAAAACCCAGGACTCAATTCCTGTCTTGTCATCCTTGGTTCCTGTGACATGCCTCCTTCTCTCGCATGCTCCCTATCCCACTCTTTTTCCTCTTGGTCGGCCCTTGTAGTTGATCCTCTGAGGTTGTACTCACTTGTTTCACTGTGCAAGTGTTGCCTTGATGTTAATGTGCCTTGTGGTTGTACCTCTCTGTACAGCCTGCTGGGAAACTCAGCCTTATCCATTTCTCCCGTCTTCTCAACTGTTGTGGCAGGCAGTTCATAACTCATTGGAGATCGTACTTCGAACTTGTTGGGATTTCCCCAGTCACGAAGCTGCACTTCTTCATCCCTCCGTCCGTGTGCTGCAGTAGCTGAATCCAGTTTCAACTGAAGGAGGCGATTTTGCTCCATCAACAGCCTGTTCTGTCCTTTGGAGTGTTCGAGGTACTCGTTACTCTCTTGCAGTTCAGCCACCAGGTTTTCTAGCTCCTCCACCGAATGCAGGCTAGTTGCCATACTGCCACATGGTGATCCAACAACTTCAAACTGTGTGCTGTGTAGCTGGGCAAGTGTGCTGTGTGTAGGCGCTATTTAGGTGATAACACGAAGAGCATTATAGGCGCTTTACGTAGGTGAAAGGATGTGGAGAATAGGCACTTATATATGTAGGTGAACTAGTAGGTTCAGGTAAACTATAGTAAGTGTAGGCGTAGGTGAACTAGTAGGTGAAGGCGTAGGTGAACTATAGTAGGTGTAGGTGAACTATAGTAGGTGTAGGCGTAGGTGAACTAGTAGGTGAAGGCGTAGGTGAACTATAGTAGGTGTAGGTGAACTATAGTAGGTGTAGGTGAACTATAGTAGGTGTAGGTGTAGGTGAACTAGTAGTAGGTGAAGGCGTAGGTGTAGGCGAACTAGCATTCCCGATAATCACTTGATGTTGCTTAATTCCTGCTTCAGCATGTTTATCCCACCGCGGCCACCAATGTAACGGGTTTTGTCCGGGGTCCCTGCACCATTTACCGAGCGGTCAATAAATCTCACGAGACTCCAATCACCCGCACGGTTCTTTCATAAACAGTGAAGCTATCACTCCAACATCATCGATCGCACTCAGATCACGCTACTTTTCTATAATACACGGAAACACAGTGTCATTTTACATCAAAAGGTACTTGCCTTTATTCACGAAGAACTCCAACTTTACAATGTAACTTCCCTTCAACAGCTAGTAGCAGTCCTCCGATTCACCCTGTTTCACCTATCTTATCCTGCCCTCCCTAGCTACCTGCCCGAACACGTCCTCTCTTGCTCATGCCTAATAACTAACTGCCCACCCGCATGCACTGACCCACGTGCGCCCGCTACGTTGAAACAACTCCGTTACAGTACCAATCGACCACTATTCCCTTATAAATAATAAATGGTATCTTCGAATCATAATACTAGAGGGCACAGTCAGTGGCGGATCCAGGATTTTCCGATAAGAGAGGGGGGGGGGTGAACACTCCTTTTTACCCTAAACACCCAACCCCCATCTTTGTTTAACCTATTTTGTGGCAAGGGGAGGGGGCCCGGACCACCCCACTACTGGATCCGCCACTGGGCACATTCATACTCATACATCACTATTCCCTGAGAAGATACAAAGACGACTGCTAAATTGGTTTGCGAATTTTGTTTCTAAACTTTATTAATGCAACAAATGTTCATCATTTTTATACAGGCTTTTGTATGATATAATGTTTACATTTTACATGATTGAACCGGTATTTACAAGTCAATTATAACTATTTACAGTACGAGGACCAAAATGTACGGTCATTTCAACAATCAAAGAAATGTTTACAGTAATCCAAATTACTTTAAACATGAGAAATGAATAACGTTATATAATTAAATCATAACTATCATTGCCAAGAAGTCGTATTTCCCATATGCGTGTACTAAAATGAAATTAAGGTATAATAATCATAAATCATGAATATTTGCAATATTGCTAATTAGGAATAAATCAGGACAGAATATTAACAAGTTTGGTGAGTTTTTGAAGATATTAACCCCAAATATCAAGGGGTATAGGGAAACTTAGCAAAAGCGATTTATCACTTATTTACATCATCACCATAAAGTCCAATTATATCTCTCTTGTAAACCGTAATAAAGACCTAAATCGTCTCTTCATTTGGACGACTTTATACATGACTATCACCTCGGAAAAATACCACCATTTTAATACAAGAAGAAGAAACACTTAATGATAAATACTCCAATTACCCTACATTGAGGGGATTTCTCATAGGGGTTGTTTGTCAGAGGATGTTAGGTCAAATACAGAGGTTAGTTGTCCCAGTTAAGTTTCTCCAGGAATTGTGGTAGTCTAGCGATTGTTGTCCAAGGGGGTAGATTTGTTCTTCTTCTGAAATGGTATTCTAGTGACAGTTGTCCTAAGGGCTGTTTGTCCGGGAATGCTAGTCCAGGGAAATTTGTTCCAAAGTAGTCTTTCCGATCGAAGAATTAGTTGTCCCAGGGGTAGTTTTTTTCTTCTCCTGGAAATGGTAGTCTAGTGACAGTTGTCCTAAGGGCTGTTTGTCCGGCAATGCTAGTACAGGGGTAGTTGTTCCAAAGTAGTCTTTCCGAGGATTATAGTCCAGGGAGAAAAGGGTCCTAGATGTTCAGGTCTAACGTGTATTTGACCTAGTGATAGTTCGCCCAAGGATGCTAGTCAATGGAGAGTTGTCCCAAGGGTCACTTGTCTTGGATGCTAGTCCATGCAGGTAGTAGTTCATCGGTAGTTTGTCCGGGGATAACAAGTCAGTGGGATATTTCTCCTAGGAATAGTGTTTCCATCTAGAGGACAGTAACAGTTGTCCTAGAGGTAGTCTAGGGATAGAAGTGAAAGAAAAGTTGTCTTTGGGGTAGCTCGTCTGGTGATGCTAGTGCAAGGGCATTAACAACTAAATTGATGATGGGTTCTAAGAGTAATTTTCCTAGTGCTGGATTTTCCAGAGATAAGTGGTAGTATATGGGATAGTTGTTCTGAGGATGGTAATCCAAGTGGCACGAATAGTTATCCCAGAAAGTTTTGTTGTCTAAGATTTAGTCCAAGAGTGGTTTTGCTAGGGGGTAGTTTGTCTGGGATGGTAATCCAAGGGGCACGTGTAGTTGTACCAGGTAGTTTGGTTGTTTAAGATGTAGTCCAAGAGTGATTTTCATAGGGGTAGTATGTCTGGGGATCCTAGTCAATGGGTAGGTGTCCTAATGGTAGATTTTCTGGGAAAGTTAGTCAAGGGTTTAGTTTTGCCAATGATAGATTTCTGGGGATGGTGGACCAGGGAGTAGTTTGTGTGGGGATGGTCGTCTAGGCGACAGTTGTTTCGAGAAGGTATATATGGGATGCAGGTCCAGGGTTTAGTTTGTCCTAGAAGTCGTTTGTCTGGAAATGACTTTACACATGTCAGTTGTCATCGGAGTAGTTTGTCCGAGGATGTATATCTAGGGGGTAGTTTGTCCAAGGTAGTTGTCCTAGATGAAGTTTGTTTGTGGACGGCATTATATTGGATGGTTGCCCCAGGGTAGTTTTTCCAGGAAAGCTAGTCTTTGGTTTAGTTGTTCTAGGGGAATTTCGTTTGGGGATGCTACATGTAGACAAGGGTAGTTGTCTGGGGTTGGTAGACACAGGTTTAGTTGTCCTAGGGGTAGATTTCCCTGGGTTGCTAATCCAAGGATAATTTTTTTAGGGATGGTAGTTGAGGGGTACTTGTCCCGGGGTAGCCTGTCTGGGATGCCAGTTCAGTGTGTATAGTTTGTCATAATATGGTAGTTGTCCTAGAGGTTGTTTGGTCTAGCGATGACTATACATGAGCAATAGTCCTAGGGGTACATGTATTTTGTCTGTGGATTGTAGTCGTCTATGATATAGTTATCTCGGGCTTGTCTGTCAAGTCAAAGGTGAGGTTTGTCCAAGGGGTGCTTGTCCGAGGGTAGTTTGGGAGTGGATAGTCGTCTAGGGGGGGGGGGGGGCAATTGTCACGGGGTGGTCAGTATGAAAGGCTAGGCAAGAGTGTAGTTTTTCTAAGGAGAAGTTGTCCTTAATGTAATTTGTCCAAGGGTGATTTTTTTTTGTTAAGGCGTTGCAGTTTTTTAAAGGGCAGCTTGTAAGAGGATGGTCATAACGAGGGTAGTTGTTCTAGGTGTGGTTGGGTGTGGATGTATCTATCTTCGGGGTAATTTTTTGTAATAGTTTCTTCAGGGACTTTGTCCATGGAGTAGTGTCACTAAATGTAGTTTGTCCAGGGATGGTAATACACAAGATGATTATGATGGGCTGGTTTGGTCCGAGGGTTATAAACAAAGGTCATAGGGACAATTCAATTGAGTTTTTTTTTGCGCTGTTACAATGGCTTTTATACACAAATCTCTCTTAATTGTGTTGTATACAAATCTGTTGAGAAATTTATTTTTCTCACAAGAAAATAAGAATTGCAAAGACATGAGAGGGATATATAAAAATTGCAATTACAGAACTTAATATAGAATGTATTACTTTTCACTATTCATATAACAATTTCATATAATAAAAACCAATAATACATTTTGGTGAATAAAAATAAAGGAAGTCTACAAGCATATTAGATGGATATCTATTTGTTTATTTGTTGATTGGAGTTATGTTTTTCTGTTACAAAATGAGAGATTTAAATCAATTGAAAGAATCACTTTAACAGAAATGTGAATATACCCTATGATTTTGATAAATTTAAACAGTCATTTCTTAAACTAAAACAGTGATCAAAGACACGAGAAGGATACCATTGTAATATAAACTCCTGCTTTAAATCTAGTTGTTACCTTCTTGTAAAATGTTACATATATAACCCGAATACCTACATATAATATGAAAATAAGAAAGTTGTAAGTAGTACATTATAAAACACTGTGCATATTAATAAAACAAGCCTACATGTAAACAGAAAAGTGTGACCTATCATTTTGTATACAATCATATTAGGAATAACACATAAAAGCTGGAGCAATAACCTATCACCCCCCAAAAAAGAAAAATAACAAAGTAAAACACAACCAAATAATGTAAAGCAGCAGTATATAAGGTCAATACATTGCACATATTCTCAATCAATCAATAAATAATGCTAACAAGATAAAATTTATTACCACGAGAATGTTATAGAGAACTATAGTAAAATGTAATTAAGTGATAGTTCTGATCAATTAGGTAAATATAGTTGTCTCTGACAAAGAACACCAATAAAACAAAATATTCAGTTTTTATCAATAAATTATGAAAAACACTACTAGAGTTGTCATTTTAACGTCAAATACATCACGATTAGAAAATAAACTGTCAACCCGAAATCATACATCAGTTTCATAAAATCTTTCAGAGGTAATATATACAATGTTTCCATTAATTCTTGAAAATCACATCAATTGTAAAAATAAGATAAATTTCTTCTACTGTAGAAAAGCACATCCTAAATGTACAGTTTTAATGCTGTCAGTAAATAAACTAGAGAAAACTGTAAGATATATGAACATAAACATTTATATTTGACCTTGTATCAAAAAGTGACGTCAAAAATTAAAATACGAGAAATTCAGATGAATTTCTTAACAGACATGAATTTCAGTTACCACATATAAAGAATTAAGTAAAGAATAATGCTTAAGAATCATAAGTACATGTACATTGTATGTGTATACAAATAATATTACAGTCCTGATGTATACCGTTCAATCATTTTTTTTCTGTTTCTTTCAGACATGCTCCCACAAACATAGAATGCACCCCTCAAAGAACCAAATGGACCAGCAAATATAGGTACTTCCACCTGTTCTACAGCTACACTGAATAGGCATATGGTAGAAATGAAACTCTTCATACCCTTTGCAAAACTTGTAACTTGTGAGAAGCAAAGATGGGATAGTACAAAGAGGGATCAGTGACACAAAGACGTAACTCCATTTTGGCCATTTTGAGAAAAAGTGGTTTAGGTGTCACTGAGCACTATAGAGACTTAAGGAGTTAAGTCTATGTTTCACTAGCCATTGGCTTCAATGGGGGCGTTGGGTGGAGTTAAGTCTTTGTGTTTCCTACAAAGCCCACATTTTTCTGAACATTTTGATATCAAATACTCATTTTGGCAAAATATGGAGTAACATCTTTGTGTCACTGAACCCTCAACATGATAATATGTGCTGATCATCATAATACTATTGCTAAATAAGGATGTTTTTTAACTAAGCTGGACTTCTCGAAAGGAGACACGGAGTATACTCTCACAGTAGAGTGGTATTTTTTCAATGAGAAATGTGATCCCTCAGATACAAAGCTGAGGTAAAGCTGGCTAAATTTCAGATTTGTTCATCATGTACACCCTTATTGACAATGATTCTTACATATATCACAGATATCAATCAGAACCTAGTCCATTGTATTACAGGAGAAGCAAGCAAGGCACCAGCATGTACTGTATATATCATTTAAAAATTGCTATAAAATGGCAAGTTTACTGTTCATATTTCCATCAGACATTTAGCATGAAGTAGACTCTCTGACTTGATCGCTTCTTTCTATCCAGAGACCAACTCTCAAGTGACTGATCCCATATCTCAAGGAATTCTTCATCTTGGATGGTTTCCTGAGCAGTATGTGGGAGTCCTGCAGCTCTGTCATTGATGCTTGGGAGATCAGCTAGAGAAAACAAAGAACCTGTACTGTGCCTATGCTCCAGCGGAGGCTTTGCTCTGAGTTTCTTTCTTGTAGTTACACCGTACGTACTTTCCAAATGCTCATGTAATGATGGAGTGTTCTGGCTAGAAGGGCCCCGATTTGGATCGCTTGGGGTTGGTGATGGGTTTGGTGGAATACTTGTCAAGGAATTTATTAACCCTGGTGATAACATTCCTGAGGAGAGAATTCCTTTGTGGCCATTTCCATCGATGGATCCTGCTTGCCCTCCAGTTACAGTGTCTTCACCCTTGAACTTGAAAAAGGAAGAATCTTCCTTCTGGGAAGGAAATTCTGGGAAAGTAGTGTCAGGGGATGTTTCAAGACTGTTACTCTTTTGGAGTGCTTTGGCTCTCTTTTCTGCTGCAAGTGCTTTGATGTGTTGCGGTTTAGGTGGAACTGGAGGTTTTTCCTTGGAGCCTTGTTTTACGAGCTGTGCCTTCAGATTTGGGCTCTTAGGTGGAACGAGAGGCTTGGCCATTGGCCTGGCAAATTGTGGAATGAGCTCAACCACAGTCTCTTGGGATGAACCACTCGTTGTTGAATCATAATCTGAATCAGAGTCGCTGTAGGTGTATGCAGACATCTGACGAGGGATTTGACCCAAGAACCTGACTGAAATGCCACTTCCTATCACAGGTCTTGGAGGCACTGGAGGCCTTCCATGTGCTCTTTCTTCGTTGGCATTACTTGAACCGACAGGTACTTTGTCAGGTCTAGCAAGTACCATGTTGCTACATTTTACAGAGGGGAAATCAAATTCATTTTGCACAGCTCTAATATCCTCACTATTCTCAACGTTAGAACTTGTGGGACTTCTACCCACCTCTTTGATAGGTGTTATTACTTTGAGTGGTTGGATGGAATGAGAAGTGTAGGAAGTACATGTAGGAGTGGAACCCCTGCTATGGTTCCTCCCATGAAGCAACTCATCATCTAGCACAGTACTCAATTCATCTAAAGACTTGAACATATCATAGGAACATTCACTGCTAACACTCTTGGGTCTAGCTTCTTCTTCTACAATCTCTGTATTATTTTCTTGACCTGTTCTCCTAGCACTTTCATCAGCCTCTTTCTTGGAAGAACACTGGCCATTGATACCATTAGTTGGAGTGACATTTCCTTCTTGAGAAACTTCCCCCTCTTCCTTTATACTTGCTTCTCCATCATCTACTGGATTGTCTAGCTGTTCTGGATCTGTATCAATATTCTCTGAAGCTGAAGTTCCATCAGTGGAACTTAATGAGGGGATACTTTCACTGCTAAAACTGTCTTCCAGGATTTCAACTTCCTGAATAGGTTTTAGATCAAGGATACTGATGATTGATTCTTGTTTAAGATCAGGTGGAGTTTGTTCACTCATACAAGTACCTGGTGAAACTGTCTTCTGTGGACTGTTTGTCAACGTCTTTCCCTCATCGTCAGTGTTGTCACTGTCATCAAAGCTGCGATTGTATTCGCTTCTGAACGTTCCTATGCTCCGGCGAGCGCCTCCTAGGTGAGTATGTATGGATGAAATGCTATGACCAGTGCCAAAGGAAGTATTTGATTCCTTATCATCAATTATGCTTCTCAGAGGTGTAACAGACCTGGTAGTCCTTGATGTCTGATCATCATCAGTTGCATCCCTCTCTGTTGCATCATTCTCTTGCTTATCCTTTCTTGCATAAAAATCCCCAGTTTTCTGAAAGTTTGATCTCATCTGTTGTTCTACTTCATTTGCCACTTCATCTTCGGCTCCAGTAAAGCAAGTTTCAACCAAGAGACTAGAGTCTAGGAGGTTGGAAAGATCATTAACACCACAGTTACATCCTCGAACCATGCAAATGTGACTGCTAAAGTCCCCTGCATCATCGCCACTATCAGGGTCTTCAGAGGACACATCTTCCAATGTAACTATGATATCTTCAAGGTCAAGCAAGTGTTTCGATTGTTGCTCAACATCTTCATTTGGTCCTTCTCCTTGTGTGCAGTTCTTCTGTTTAAGGCTTGAAGAAACATGAGGCTTATCAAGGGGTTGTTCATGAAAGTACACAATCCTGTTTTTATTGCTCTCATTGCTGGTTTCTTGAGGTAATACAGGGCAACTGAGAGGTCTTGTTGGCTGACCATTACGATTCCATGAACCTCGTATCAATCTATTAAGTTTAGGCCTTTGGTCCTTCAAAGACACTGCATTTGTTACCTCATCAGTCTGAATTGCCTTGTCCTCCGTGAAAACAACCACGCTGCTAAGAGCACTTTCATCGACATCTTGCTCCCTCATATGTACAAAGCCATTAGGTTCATGGTCTCCACTGGGAATCATCTTAGTGTCATAGTCATCTGAAAGTTCGGATCTGTACGGTGAACATCCATTCTCGGTTGCGTCAATGTTGGTATAGCTAGAACAAAACATCCGAGCCATCTTTGTTGTTTGAGATTCTTCCATGATACCACAGAGGTTCTCAAAGCTCTTACTTACTGGTCTTGTAGTTCTTATGTCTTGGTTACTGGATGACCATACTTTCTTCTTAACACTCTGCATGTACCCATTACTCTCCTTGCTCTCATCTTCCTCCTCTTGCTTGAAGCTCATCTTGCTGATGTCGGGCACACTTCGAGTCATGAATTTCCTTCTAAGGGATGATCTTATTCCTTTGCTGAAGGACTCGGTCTGCTTGGCATCGAACAGTTCATACTTCTGGAAAAGCCCACTAAGAACTTTTACCAATGACTTCTTTCTTGGTCTATGACTGGAAGAAGAGTGTTCCAGTGGAACTGTATCATCTGGCAGGTCTCCATTCACTTTTGAAGTAAGGTTTGAACTCTTCAGAGGAGTTGTATCTGGTGACAGCCCTGTGCGTGTCAGTGGTCTTGGCTGGTCATGAGTATTCCACCTATCAGAAGAATCTGGAAGATTACAAGAAGCCTCCTTTAGTTCAGACTCGTTGAGAGGGCCTTCAGAATGTCTTGATTGATGCCAGCTATAATCATGGAACTGCGTATTTCCAGTATATTCCAGAGATTTGGGTGTTTGCACTTGCATTTTGGTGTCTTCAGTACAATTTGGTGGCCCAACATTTGGATGTAGGTCTTCTGGACTCTTTCTGTATAGGTTTTCTTCCCCATTAGAAGGGCTAACGATAGCATTTAACTCTTTTGTCACATAGTTTCTCTCTTCTAAGGTTTGTAGCTCCCTCTCTTGTTCTGCAAGGCTGGCTACCAGATCAAACATGGAGTCCACAACATTGGAAAGAGAATCCATTTGTCCTTCTGATTCACAATACTCTGGGTTTCGTGTCTGGCCTTGAGAAACCGAATCTAGTTCTACTTCTGTCTGACCTTGTACAAGTTGTTTGACACACTCTTGTGATAACTGCCTTTCTCTGCCCTCTGGATATTGCATATACCCTTGAGAGTGATCTACTAAGCTAAGATTACAATGATCCTCATTCTTTCTTAGATAGGAGTTATTACTGTATGCATTGACTACGTCATTATTCCCATTACATGAAGAGAATTTACTAGGGTTCCCCATCCTCGACATACACATACCCTCATTACTGTTTGAAGAAACATCATCTTGATTCGACCTTTGGACAAATTCATTTGGCTGTGAAGCCAACTCAACATGTCCAGGTACATGTACTACATTATCATCTTGTTCTACAATATCATACACGATATCCCCCTGGTTATCATAGTTACTACCCTGATTTTCCTGGAGACAGGGGTCGTCTAGAATCCCATCTGCCTCACTATTACCTTCTACCTTGTATTCAGAGGAGTTTGTTAACTGTGGTACTCCTATTTCTCTTTCTTGTATTTCTATCTCTTGCTCTGGCTTTGCATGAACCTCTCCAGAGACAAGACCATTCTCTCCTGAAAGGAGTTCACCCGTTGCATTATCGGTCACATGGTCAGTTGGTGTGTCATTGGTCACATGATCACTTGATTTGTTATCCGTCACCTGATCAGTTAATGTGTCATTGGTCACATGGTCAGTTGATGTTTCATTGGTCACATGGTCAGTTGATTTATTATTGGTCACATGATCAGTTAATGTATTATTGGTTACATGGTCAGTTATTGGAGGGTCAGTTATTGGAGTGTCAGTCACAAAAACCTCAGCAGATTCCAGACTTGAGCAGTCTTCAGTCGAAGAACACTCATCATAGGACACCATCCCAAAGGCTAGTCTCTCCTTCGTAAAGCGGGCAGACAGGAGGGCCTCCATCTCTGTTGAGATATCATTATTATTCATAGGAAACACAAGATCATCATCGTCTAAGATTCTACTCAAGGTAGGAGCTGGCTCAGGGTCATAATGTTCTAACTTGGAAAGGATTCCACTACCTAATCCTTCTTGAGTGTCCATTGGACTGGACTCTAGTTCACCTTTAGCAGCAACATTCAAAGAATCTCCTACTGAGCTAATGGGAGGAACCTCATGGAGCGCTGGTCTCAGACTCAAGCGGCCATCTTGGATGACTTGGATGATTTGTGAAGGAGAAATTCCTAGGCGGAGGATGTGTATAATCTCATTGAGAGGAACACTCAGACTACCATCTGCCTCTAGCTCTACCGCTACCTCACTGGACATGATGCGATCCAAAATGGCATCACAGTCAACAGGACTCAAGTCACAGTCGTCATCACCAAAAACTGAGTAAATAAGAAAAACAAAAAACAATATTTAAACATTTTAGTTTTGAATAAGTGATATTATATGGTACATAGATCAAGAGGAAAGAGAGTGTTACTGTAGATACAAAGTGAAATTGAAGAAAATTGTATTATAAATCAATCAATCTGAAAAAAGGAGATAGAAATGTGATTGATCTAAAGCAAAAGGCTATCAATCATGGAATTATAAAAAGAGAACAAAATACAGAAAGAAATATTATTGCTATCTTTTACACCCTTCAAAAAGAAAAGATATTTACAATTGACAAGTATATATATCAACCCCAAATATGCACAATTACATCAAACACATTATGTTATTTGAAGAGTGCATATATCCTGGTAACATTCTGAGTTATTGATCACATATATGTTTTGGGGAATAAAAAAACAAGTTAAGACTAATAAGTTTAAAGTATAAAGATACGTTTATGCCAATAATTGATATTTGATATCAGATGCCCTTATAATAGAAAGTAAGAGTCAGAACATCAACAACAGGCAAAATATTAGCTAAAAGATAGGGAAGCAAATCAATAGTTTGTGCTGCCAAATATCTAATACAACAGCAAACAAATGCATACATGAATAAATATATGATTGCATGCATAAAGTGATCACACATTACGTAACCAGTCACACACTTATTAAACATAAGTTCAATGAATGTCACAAAGGATTTTACCTGTCACTTTGATCCTTTGTAAGTAGATGGGTTAGAACATGAAATAAAATGTTGTTAAGTGATTAAAATATCTTGCATTTGAGGCATGTGAGAAATATTTAAAAACCTTCAATATCTTATAATAAATACAACTTAATAAAATTTTGGAAGCTGTCCATTTACTGCAGATTAATGACAATATGAATTCACATGAAATTTCAAAAGGGGTAAATCAGTTCACAGCTAATTGATGTTTTATATGAACCAAGCATAATTGATTACTAGTGATCAAAATGTAATCTAACTTTGTGGACACTATTTACTTTCAATATCAACTGACAATGTCATAATGAATCCCAAATGATGAATCTTTCAAAATGACTTCAATACAGAAACAAGTTGGCCAAGCATTGTTTGTCTTTCTCCCACCTTGGATCTTGCGAGGCATCCACCAGCATCCAAATTATTGAGACACAACATAGGTGATTAACAGACAAAAATACTGCAGTTTTGAAATTTGTAAGAGAGACATTGTGTTCAGATGTTTGTTAATGTCTGTTTGCCAGTACTGCAGTATATACTGACTTTATGAAAATATGTTATATGGACCACAATCTCTACTTTTCCTCGCATTCACTATTGTCTACAATTTGCAGGCACCAAAATGCATTGTAAAAGAGAAATGTGCACAACAAACCTACTTGTACACATAAATATGATACAATATATTTTCATTTTGCTCAAAGTGCAATCATATGTATACTTGTACATTTCAATAAATGGTTATGCCAAAGCCTTGTGTATCTATCTGAAATCTCATCATTCCATAGGAGATCTTTTTGTTCCTTTGATAGCAATATATTGTTAGATTTCACATGCTTCATTCGCATGTTTCTTTTATTAAAAAAAAAATCTCTCCTTGAATACAGTCATACCTCTTTAAAATACTGGAATATATTTGCAAATGCAGATATGGAGATGATAAAAATGAAAGCAAAGGTGAAAACCATTCTAGCTTCCTGTCAGCATCAGCACACTTTCTTATAAGCGCATCAAAGATTTTAAAACAATATGCTACCTACAGTGTATCAATCTTTATCTATGATTGTAAATGGATGCAATTTAAACAGCCATTAAAAGTAGTATTGTTTAAAAATCTGTGATTTTATCAGAAGAATGTGTGCTTACACGCAGGTAAATGCCTTACAGAGAGATACACGTCCAGGGGTCAGTGACACAAAGACGTAACTCCATTTTGGCCATTTTGAAAAAAGAGGTTTATGTGTCACTGTGCACTTGGGCCTTAAGAAATTAAGTCTATTTTTCACTAGCCATTGACTTCAATGGGGTGTTAAGTCTTTGTGTTTCCTGGAAAGCCCACATTTTTCAGAACATTTTGATATCAAATACTCATTTTGGCAAAATATGGAGTTACATCTTTGTATCACTGAACCCTTGATATACAGTTGAATATTCATCTCACCATCATCACATCCTTCCTCGTCACCTTGTGAGCGACCCTTCCTCATCTCTCCTTCATAGCTCCTTCTCTTCTGCCTCAGCAGACCAAAGGTGGGTGTGGAAGTGGGTGAGGTAGGACTCTTGATCCCACCACTGCCACCGGTTACATTCATGATGCCTTCCACCAGGAGTGCTGTGGTGCTGTGTCTCCTCCTGATACCAAGCCTCTCGGCCAGGGATGTGCGTCTCTTGGGCGAGGCCTGATGGGAGGGGCTTCCACCGGTCATCAGATTGACTTCCGTGTCAACGGATTTGGTTCGGTTACGGCTTGGGGAGGATGTGGTGCGGGTGATCGAGGAGGAGCGCAGGCCTTTGCTGTTTTTGATGTATTTCTGCTGAAGAGATAATGCATTATTCTTTCACAATTAAATTCTAATCATAATTTATTGCAGGTATTACATAATCTTACTTTTATCAGTTTGCTTCTGAATTATCTCATTCCTGCAGGCTTAATACAGGGATGACTTAGTACCCACAGGCAATTAGATAAATACTGTTAATCGTACATGCATGGTATAAGTAACAAAACATATCAAATAATTACAAACAAAGAGTGAAGAGTGATAGAAAATCCAAGTATATAGCAATGCACTACTAATTTTAATACAGAAGACACATATATGTATACTGAATTGAAAAAAATCATAATATACTAAAATCCCCAAATTCTTCTTGACAAGTAAAAATTATTATTTTAGAAATTTGGCTGATAATAGTACACTGTTATTCTTAATGACATCTGCCAAATATGGTATGATTACGTAAGTGACAGACTTACCTTATCAGTGAAGTCTTCAATGGTGACATGAACAAAGACAGTTGCATGGTCAAGACCCTCAAGATGGATGTGACGGTAGCCTAAAGGAAGATTCAGAGGCATAACAATAACAATTAATCAACATAAATTACAACCAGTTTAGAGTAATTGCAAGCATGTTAAGACATGATATACATTTTATCATCTTAGCAAATCGTCGCTGTTTTCACGAAGTGACGGTAGTGAAAAAAAATTGCATTCACTTTGCGTGACGATTTTCCTCACTACCGTCACTTCGTGAAAACAAGGACGATATGGTTAAAGGACTTCAGTTGAGGAAAATGAAATTTGTTGGAAGAGCTTTTTTTATTTGTAAAATGCAGCATGTCACTTCCTATACCAGATTCGCTGCTGACAGCAGGGCAAACTGGTTTAACCCCTATGTTGTCAACAATTAAACAAACTTGTATCAGATTTGACAGAAACACAATTTTAGGAGACAAATTTTCCATCATTATGACATTTTCTATTATTCATATTGACCAAATCTTTACTATGCTATAATTAGTAAATATCCTTATAATAAACCCTTTTGAATTTTAAATATATAGAGAAGATTTGCTCTGTTCATGAAATAATATATAACATGTCAAATGTTACTGGTTGAATTTGTATACAAGACTGAAAGGGTCAACCTCCTACCTTGACAAAGACTGGTGAAAGGGAAGGTTGCCTGGCCAATGAAGTCTCTCCCGATGGGATCTTCATCCCATACAACAAACCTGACCAGAGTAAGCTCGGGCAGAGTGACAGGGAATGTCACTACATAGTCCCAGACTGGATTGAAACCTGGGGAATGAATAAAACAATCACGTTGGTCAATACAACACACTGGACGCAAAATTGTCCCACAAATAGAACTCCCTCTGAACAAAAATGGCAAAAACTTTAAGTAAATGTATATGAGCTCTATGGCAATTTCAATAGTCCGGCACATCACCTATTGATATGTGCAATCACTATCTCTTACATAAAATGAAAAAGTTTGTACACAGTAGTGACTTAATCTGACAAGGAGGTGATTTCTTACAAATCTTTGCGCTTGTCCTATAGGTAAATTATAAGTTTTTTAAATGCAAAATAAATCTGCAATTAGTTTTGGTCTTTTGAATCTTCATATCTGTAAATCTACATCATGAAAAATTGCTATATTGTATTTCACGCAGTTATAGCATTGCTTGAGCAGTATATACTCTTACATATTGATAAATCGGAACGGCCAACTCAGACCAGGGGATAACTCGACCCAGCTGCAAAAACTGTCATTTTTTGTCATTTTACCCTAACCCTAGCCCTAACCTTTACTCTAACCCTAACCCTAAATCTAAACCTAGTTAGCCTGACTTCGTTAAATCATACTACACAATATTGGGACCCAAATCTTACCATTATCTTGAACAGTCCTAGTCTGTGCCTTGGTGCAATCTCCATTCAGACCAACCACCTCGACTTCCACATAGGGGTCAATGATCTAAACAACAACAAAATCAACGTGACATTAACAAATGTAAAAAGGAAACAGTATTCTTATTTAAGATGTATATACAATACCAATAAATGCTTTAATTGGGACAGAAGAGGACAGCAATGAAAAGGTTATAATGATCTCATACATGTTCACCTTAATGGAGAACTCTATACACTCTGTACATTTTGGGAATATACACAGTTTATTATTATTATATTATTATTATTAACCAGTGACTTTGCAATTATAATGAATATATTCAACCATACAATTGTTACATTAATTCAATAAATAGTAAGCCAAGAATCAGTTAGACTGGGTTCTATGAAAAATATGTATAATGCCAAAGCAAATCATGTATATATAGTAACGGTAGTGTTAATGGCTTATCGAACATTTAATTTGTAGGTAACTAAATTAAACTGAATTGCAGAATCGTAGAAAGCGTAAATAATCTCATAATAGTCTTATAGATGATATAAATGAATAAGACATTACAAATGATACACCAAATCTGAGAGATCATACATAAACATGTCCGAAGACAAATTTTATGTATATTTTACATGACAATAAATTAATCTTGAATCTTGAATCTCATAAGTTATTGGTTATGGATTCATGTTTTTTGTAGGTTCATAAATTTCACAAAATGCCCATGACCATCTATTGAGTACATTACACATTCTACAAAAATGAATATTTGAAATATTTGATCAAAGAGGATTGTACCTCTCCACGTTCTCCCAGCAGGCTCTGTGGTGGTTTGGGTAGCTGCTGACCGCTGATGATGTGAATGGTCAGTTGCTTCTTCTGGACGCCAGCAATGGAATTATTGGATGTTGCATCAAAATGGACTTTGTCTGTGATATGCATTAAAAAAAGAGTAAAAATGGTTGAATGAATGAAATTGTGACTCTGATATTAAAGAAAAAGACTTGATGATCATGGGTACAATCTAAAGAATATTATTGACCTTTCTAACATTTGTTCATTTTATTCATGTCATGATTTTTATTTACAAACGAATACTATATAGATTGAAAAACATTGACACTCTAAAACTAATCAGTCCAAAAACTGGTTTCTTTTACTGCCTGATGTTGAGATTCATGAAATATGACCATTTAGTTAGCTCCTATTCTCCTAAAAATATTAGGAACTTACCTTGTCTGAGGATGCTAGGTTTGAGCACATAACCACAGCTCCCATTGGCTCTAAACTTAGCTCTCAACAATTGCATAGCACGACCTTCAGTCTGGTAGTTCAGAGCAACTGGAAGAAAAATGGGAGGAAGAGGGTTATTCACCCAATTATTTATTTATTCAATTTATTTCCTCTATTTACATGTATGAAGGAGTTAAAGTGAAAGCCCCTCTAAAGTGTTGGGAGCCCCAAATATGCGAAAATTTGATGGCAACATTCCACTTAAATTGTGTGATAATGTATAAAAGGATGTCATTTCAGACACACTTTTGCAAAGATATCCCCCCCCCCCCAAAAAAAAAAAAAAAAAAAATTGTTTGGAGACAAATATTGATGAAAGTTGTAGGCAGAAAACATAAATTTTGTATTTTTCATAAATATTCGACTTCAAAAGGATTTTTTTCAAATTCCTCGCAGAATGAAATAACTTTTTTATTAAATGAAAGATGAATGATTTTCATGCATTCTAATACTTAATTTTTGAGGCAAATGATCAGTTACATTAGGAAGAGACAGACATAGTTTCACATTTTGGGCTTACCAAGTTGGCATCCACAGTTCCATAGCGGCTGAGGGTTGAAGTTACTGGAGTCTATCCGATACGCCGATGGGTAAACTCTGCACATGTTGTGAGTACTGAAGGTTGCAAAGTCTGCAGCTCTCGTCATTGCAAGATTGTTTGCTCTCATCTCACCAAGCGAGGGCAGCTCCCAACATGGCACTAATAAAGTGAAAAGAAATGCTATTGATTATTGGACCCTATTTCACAAAACTTGTCATCAGTGAATAATGAAAGTTTTTGTTATAAGCTAGTGAAATCATTGCTTCTGATTGGTTATCAGCCGATTTTTCACTGATTTTAACCATTTGTGATTGAAAACAGGCTTTATGAAACAGGTCTCGGATCTCTTGAGATGTTGTGTTTCTTCATCAATGACATTAGCTCAAATCCACCAATAAGTAACACGGATAAAGTTCCTTTATTTGCTTTATGTATTTTCTGGAAACATTGATTCCAATCTATCCAATAAAAATAGCAGATGAGGTGAAATAAATCATGGGTTGAAACAAACATAGGACAGTTGAGGGTTTCAGAATGCAGTGAAAAAGTTGCATGCAATGTAAAGCCATTGACTTCTGAATTGTCCAATTCTCATAGGCTTAACACAGGGACCACTTGATTCCAGTCAGTAACAGGTTAAGCATCAGTCCAACTCTAAGTAAATAATTCTTTATACATCATGTAAAGCATTCAGATACAACTAATAATGAAACACCATAAATCCTGAAGAGCAAGAGAGAGAGAGAGAGAGAGAGAGATGGAGAGGAGAGAGAGAGAGAGAGAGAAAAAGAGAGAGAAAGGGACAGAGAAAGAGAGAGAGATAGAGAGAGAGAGAGAGAGAGAGAGAGAGAGGGGGAGAGAGGGAGACCAGTACATGGGATAACTTTTTTTTTAAATGAGTCCCCTTCTGTTCCTCCAGGGAAAAATGCAATACAAATCTTCAAATTGGCAGTAGGTATTGAATAAACAATTACAATCTCAATCTGATTAAGATATCTGGCTAACAGCATGCTGCCCTTGCTATGTGTAGAGTACATACAAAAATACATGCCATACAATGAAAGAATTTTACCAGTAAAAAAATGTACATATATATATATATATATATATTTTGTCATTCCGAAAATATGAAACCTTCTAACCCAGCTCCATGGAAAATTTCCTAAGATACAATGTAGGATAAGTAATGCTAGAATAAGTATGTAATGCTAGAATAAGTATGTTATGCTTACATGTATGTTTGGGACCTCTCTTTTCTTTGTGCATTGCAGATTGAACAGAATTGGAATAATAAAGGGCTGAATATGTTTCTGAGAAATATTGGTATTTGGAAATGACAAATACCAAACAGCTGCTGACAACATTAAAAACGTTGACCATTTATTCTTTTTAAATGAAGACACTCAGTTTCTAAGTTAGAATCATTGTAAATACAGGGGTTATGATCATAGAATAATGCATCCTTGTCACCACTATGCTTCACCTAATATTTTGTTTTGATTTTCAACAAATCAAGTACAATATATTAAAGGGATCCGGTAACTTTGTCTACATCTTTTAAAAAAATCCTTGATTTAGCTCATGCTACAATTATAATTATAAACCTTTAGGTCAGTCAGGAACCCCATGACTTTTACAAGCCGATCGCCTGTCTGATTATCAAGATATTTATGATTGAAAATCTTACGTCTATTGGGGAAAACGAGTATGTTTAAAAAAGGTCACTCAAAGGTTTTTTACTTTTTTGGAGCACTTCTTGATCCTTTTGAAGCGCATTTTTTTTTAGGGCTTCAATATAACACCATATCACAGACACTGATAACACGTAGGGCTGTGCATCTCAGATTTAACATTGTTAAACGATCCCTTTAAAGAGTAGCTTAAAAACACCTTGAAATATTTCTTGTAAAAGTGAAGACACCATTTGGAATCATTAATAGAAAACATCTTGTGAATGAAGCCTTAGCTCATTAGTGATTTAAAGCTACCATTTCTCCATCCATTACTAGTACAGTATTGAACTCCTGGTGGCTTTCTAACTGCTTTGAGGTAGATTTCTATCACTGAAAGCATTTGTTTACTTCCACCTTTTCAACCACATCTATCCCTAACCCTGAATGTAACCTAAAGCCCAAATGTGACGCTGGACCCTGCCCTATTAATGGATGACTAAGTAAAAAACATTGCCATTATCTAAGCTTGTACATCATCAAACTCTTACTGTTTTCTGGGAAGCCCTTGAATGCAACCGATCTGGTGTACTTGACTAGATCTGACAACTGTCTTGAGAGAACAAACGCCCTCTTTCTGTTGGCTGAGCTCATTCGTTGTTTCGCTTGCTCTGCCTGCTGATTCTCATTGGCGCCGCCCTCTAAGTCATCATCTCGAGATGATGATCGATCGTATTCCATACTGCTGTTGTTATCTGACTCAGATGAGTGCTGCAGCTTGGCTCTCCTCTGTTATGTAAAGAGAGCAATCAAAAGTTATGGCAAGGTAAAATGTATACCTAGTATATTTGTTCTTTTTGTTTCATTCTGGAAAAGCAAGGAGAGCAGGTCCCATGTTAATTGACATTCGTTATATTTCTCCAACATATAATTTATGTTCTTGGATCAATGTCAACTAAAATATTTTAATCACATTTCATTGTTCATCTATTCTTTGCATTCACTTACATCTTTGCAAAGTTTAACACTGCCATTTTAACTCTATCTTGCATTCATTCTTAATAATAATAATAACACTAGTCCGTTTTTGTAAAGCGCATAATAGTTAGTGTATATAGGCTTCCAAAGGGCTTCAAAAGTTATTACCTTAGCTTTTAATAGCTCTGGCTATTGATAACAACATTCTTGAAGAGTTTATGCAGAATACTCCAGCACTATAAACCTCAGCATGTTGTCCTGAGATGTTATACTCATTTTCTCCCTAAAGAAAGTCCTGCCTCTTTTACATTTATTAGAGTAAAAGTAAAATGACAAATTTGAAAACAAATCAAACTATAATACAACAAAAAGGATGAAAACTTACTCTTGTAGCTTTTAATTTCCTGAAGGTTCCTGTGAGTCCGGTCTTCCCGTTTTTGGAAGCTTTATTTTCAGTGTTCTTTTCTTTGAGCTACAGGGTAAAAAGAAGGATTTTCCTTTACTAGATTGATTCTGTCAGAAAATATGTACATACATTCAACAACATGAGTGTATATTTGTTTTTGTATTGCTGATTTTAACTGAGGTTTGACTACATCACAATTATGCTCAGGGACAATGTTTGAGGATACCAGTTGATTTTAACATGAAAATAGTTCAAGATAGACCAAATATGATGCTTCCCTAAATGATAATTTGCCACTCCAGTTTCTAAACTAATAATAAATATGATTCAACCAATCAAAGATGTTTACCCTTCCCCTAAAAAACCCATTCTTTTTGAAGAAATTGTATATCTGAGATTAGCTATTAAACAAGTAGTTGAATCACAAGATATTAATCAGATTGTGAAAACAAATCTTATACCTGGTAGGGTTGGTATTCAAACTAACTTGAAACAACTACCAGTATCTCTTGAACACATATACTTACAAGCACCATACAGATGAATGATGACACCAAATTTTTTTATTTTTTAATGCTTCTGACAATCAACCCAATCAACCTAATCTAAAAAACACTTTTACTCCCAAACTTTCTCTACTTTCTTCCTGAACACTTTTTTTACTCAACGGAAAACCACAGATATGAAAGGCTAAACAGTTTAACAAAGCTGAAAAATCTGGAGCTACAGGGTATAGGTATGACATTGTAAGGGTTTAGAGCCTACAGACTGTTAAAGGTTTGCTGCTTAAGAAAAGCATTTCGTTTGCATGGAGCATGGAGCAGAAAAAAGAAAGGGGAGTGTCAGTTCAACAGATGCCGAATAAGAGTAAAGCGTAAGTTATGCAAGGTGGATGACATGTATACTGCACAATATCTCTTCACACATTCTTTGTTATCCATCCTCTCAATCCTTTGCACTTAATGTATTGAAATTTGCATTATGACAGAAGGCAGAATTACAAAGGAGCAAGATTTATAACAAACTCAGACTCAAAGGAAAAGCACAAGCTCATGTTAGTCAGACAGCAAGTAATGTTAAGGTACAGATAAACATTTGGATGGAGGCTTGACAAATATCAGCAAGATTGTTCTAGATAATACTCCACAAAAACTATGATCAGGGCCCTGCATGTTGCACAAAACTTACCATTGATGGTAACCATGGAAACCTTGATTTTGATTGGCTTTTGAGCCCTGTTACCATGGTAGTTGCCATTGATGGCAAAGTTACCATCAATTGTAATTTTTATGCAAAGGGGCCCTCATCATCTAAACTATTTGAAAATAGTTTTTAATAAGTCAACACTTGTACATGTAAATTACATGTACATGCTGTGAATTCAATAAGAAACAATCATATAAAACAAAAGTTGAGCTTTTGTTTGAAAGTTACCAATATGATTGTTTCCAAGGAATAGCTAATGATGCAAATTGAGAGTTATCTTTATATACAAACAATGTTAATCTGTACTTTTCAATTTGATCTGTACTTTTCAATTTAATATGTACTTTTCAATTAAGATAATGAATTTCTTAGTTAAATGGAAATATGTAATAAATTTAAATGAGAAATAGGCCTAATAGTATAGCCTCAAAGAGAAATATGTGTACAAATTTGACACTTGGTCAATAATTGGTCACTAATTAGCCCACCATCCACAGCATCTTAAATGGCTGAAAAACAGAAGCTATTGTGTTATACACTCATACACACAAGAAAATAACATTATATAATGTGAGGTGTAAATGAACATTATTTAAAAAACACATTTGCTTGCATATAGTAGTCAAATATACAGATTATATTTGTCAATATATTTGTTTGATCTTCTTGAATAGACTGAATTTTGGTAAAATAAATAAAGTAAAAGTATCACATGTCACAGGCTAAATGTCATGTAACTGTGCAAATTATATATTGATATATTGGAGACCATATACTGGTATGTATAAATACTTTTAAACATACAAATGTGGTATGAAAAATATATGACATGTCAATAAAATCATCATTAATATGTGCCACAGCGTAATTTTCAGGCCAAGAAACTTGAATAATGATAACTTGTTGATAGCATGCATGTATTGTATTTTACTATAGTACATATCAAATAGATGTCGTATAGGACATCAATAACTTTTTTATGACGACATTGTTTAAAAAAAAGGCATAAATAAGCTTGAAGTCACCCTCAAAATAATTTCTGTTTTCAAATTTAGCACATTTACTGGCAACCATTAGGGTACTAACTTGTATATATCAGTCATTGTGGGCTTAAGGGTTGAGATTTAGTACAAAACACACATAAAATCACTTTCCTGTTTTATAAGTATCATACCATAAACACACAAAAAACATGTAGAGCACTCACAGAATATATGAAGATTGGTTCATCATTAATTGAAAATACAATTTAAGGTATTCAATACTGGGAGTATTGGTGGGCAGGGTCATTACACGACAGGGTCCAATGTAGGTTGCATTCTGGGTATTGTGCAACAAATAGGAATATCAGAAGTACCAACAAATGCACAAATTATGTTTATTAGATGGGATGGACTCTGAATATGTTTTGTATTGGTGAGCTAGGTTATTGATGGGGCATTTAAGATACTGGATCTAGACAGACAGTTTACTATATGTACAGGGACATCAAAAAGGGATAAGGGAAAATGGGATTAAGGGGGAGAGCCACATGAACTTAACGGACCATCAATTTTCTTAAATTTATATCATATATGAAATTTCATGAAACAAATCTCTGATTAAAAAAAAGAAATTATTTTTAATATTGACACAGAATTCCACATAACAATCTTCATAATTCATGGCACTATTTTGAATTCCAGGGAAGCCTCTTCCACAACCTCCCCCCCCCCCCCCCCCACCACCTGGTCTTCATCCAAAAGTATATATTAAGTTCATTTTAGTTACTTATCATTCTCAATAAACACAACAAACATGATATGTCCCATGAACACGCATCCCTCAGTTACAATACACACATTAGGTTAGAAGGCAATAGGAAGGCATTAACGTAAGGCTCATACAAATGTTAGAGCTGAAAGGTAGTATGTGCAATGAAAAGATAAGCAGACATACAAACCTCTGTTGCTTCTAGAAGGACTTTCAATCTGTCTAATCGCTGCGTGCAATAATCAGTAAATGATACAGACACAATGAAGGGAGAAAGATAGACAGAGGTGAAAAGAACTTTATTTTTGGCTGATGTGCAAAACTTTTTTTTTTATAAAGATAATTTTTGATAAATGAATCGTATTTTTATGTGATGCCCCATAAGATGTGCGAGCTAGAGAGAATTCAATCTAATAGAAAATGTTGTTGAATATTGAAAAGTGGGAAGAGAAAACAGGGTGCATATAGAAGAAAATTACCCTTCTAAGGAAAATGCCTAGCTGGAATCTTTCCCTTTGCTTCAGAAAAATCTAATTTGCATGGTGGGAGAATCTATGAAGTCTTTCATTCTAAGATTATTAAACTACAGCCACAGAATTGAGATAAAATATTTCAACAGTAATTTATTGCATAACATTTACATACCTTTTCCCTGCATCCACCCCCCCCCCCCCTAAAAAAAAAAAAAATTCTAAGCACTTTCCATGCGCACTTTCCATTGCTACCTATACCAAGCAGGTGTATATTTTGAGTCATGTTAGCGTATAAATTAACCCGCAATTTAACTTCAAATGAATCTTTAACCACTGGATGTCATGACTCCGGTTGACTGGTATTTAGCATGCAATTACCCTAAGTATGTCTGGGTTAATAAAGTCTATGTGTGTGTGGGTGTGCATATGTGAGATTGTGTGTGTGATGGTCAACTACAAATTATCAAAAGTCAAAGAAATCCAGAGAAAGATATATGTTTATAAAAGAAGTCATTATTGATAGACTTTTTCTGGCTATTCATAATGATTTCTTTTAACCACTATTATGGTGGCAGCAGTGGGATATTGAAGTTTCAATAACAATATCAATATACATGTATCAGATATAAAATTGCTCTGGATACTAGATTCAGGTTAGTGTGCACACCCCCTACTTTTGACAAATGCTGTTTGATGTTATACATGTCATTTGTATATAATAGCACTACATGTATGTAAACTGCATTCCCACTGCTGGCTTAAGAGTAATATAAAGACACAATTTAGCTACACTTGTTGAGGAAAGAAACTACCATATTGACTCTGTTTGGGAGGGAGATTAGTTAGGAAGAATGATCAGAGCCATGCATATACTTCAGAAAACATTTATACAACATATCAGCATGTTATTTTTTTCATGTGGAATCTATCATCGCTTTTCACATTCATTCAAGCATTATATCAATCCATATACTATAATTGTTGTCTACATCATCCAGCACATATCATTTTTCATTTCAATACAACTATACATTTGTGTCACTACCAGCATTGGATTTTTCTAATTTGACACTAATGGATGCTGAGATTCTAAACATTAAACCTACATAAGTAAATGAACAACACTATAATGATTCTGATCTATTTGTATGTATTGAGATGCTCAAACTGACATTCAATTTCTTTCTCCATGATTTTACTATGGACTTTGCCTAATTATCTAGTGTCATTCCTTCTCACATTTTGCATAAATCTGCTGATAACCTTATTTTCAGGCCCAGTTCCTGGCTTTCCAAGCTTGAGAATTGGAGGAGAAAAAGGCATTACTAATTGATGTAAAATTACTTAAACTGAAATTGAACATGACTTACAACTTTTAATCTAAAATATTGAATAAGACATGCACATACAGTCACACTTTGTATGTTTCAAAAGATCATTTGACAATGAAAAAATAAATGTATGCAATGATTTCCACATACATGTGTTTAACCTTAGAGAGATATTTCTCTCAAAAACTGATCAAATATTAGCAAAATATTACCAGATAAAGATCAATCACTTTCTAACACATTAATTGAATGGATTTTGTGTGCACAGTAGAAGGGCATAAATACCAATTTGTTTTTGATTTTCTCCAGTTTTGGAGTGTTATAAACTACAACTGTTAACGTTTGACAAGATGTGAGGACTAAAATATGCTGTATTCAAAAAATAAAAAACGCCTCTTTTACAATATGAATATCAGCTGTCCCTGTATCCTGTTCATGCCCTCGGCTATGAACACAAAAATAAAATGCTAAAATATGACTTAAAATTACCATTATTAAATGAGGTAGAAATTCTGTTTTTTGTTTAAATGAAAATTCTGGTAAATTTATCTATGGCCTTTGAAATGATTAGAATTTAATCAAATGAAAAAGATCTTTACAACTATCCTTATCCCAGGTACACTAGTGTGGATGATTCTTACTAACGCCCTTACAGATGTATGCTATTGTTCTGCTTCTAGTTAGTACCTCTTTTCTCATGCTATTTCTATTATATATATTTTTGTAATATGCATATTCATTGTAGTATGTTTTGCATGAGAAATAAAATCATTTGAAATTGAAATTATGCCATACCTTGTGCGCTATCTTCTGCCATGCCTGTTGCGATGGTGAGATAGGTTTCTTCCTCATCAACGCAAGCTGTGCCATGGCAATAGATTCAAACTTACTCCTCGTCTCTGTCTTCTCCAACTATGAGGCAAGGCAGAGAAAAGTGATAATAATGATAATTCTGCTTTTATATAGCACTTAATACATCTATGATGTCTCTAAGCGCTTTACAGATATACTATTGTGATAGTGAAATTGGCTAAAAAGTAAGGGGAATATTGTGAGGCGTTAAGCCATTCAAAACTCAGGAAAACATCTGGAAAACTTCATTTAAGAATTATTGAAATTGAATTAAAATTTCATTTTGTCTCCTTTTCGAGCAAGGAGTGACAGATATGTGCTGTTATAAGTGGCTCAAAAGGATAATGTTTGCAGTAACGCTATTGTTTGTTATATTAATCAGATCAAATAATTCAAGATGTTGATTTACCTTGAAATCTTCATCAAGTTCATCAGCACTATCTTCTTCACTGACTTCACCAGCCTCGAGATCAGCATCATGGTCTAATGGAAGCTTCTTGGCCTAGGAGAGAAAAAACAGGAGGCAGAGAAGGAAGAGGGGTGGGGAATAGAGAGAGAGAGAGAGAGAGAGAGAGAGGGGGGGGGGGACAGAGAATGACGGAGAGAACGGGAAAAGGGAAATGAAAAAAGGAGAGGGAGAAAAAAAGAGACAAAGATTACAGAGAAAGGGACAGAAAAAAGAAGGAAGACAGTGAGAAAGGATGAAGGGACAGGGGAGAGAAACAGAAAAAAACAGTATGAATGGGGATTATATAAATTAGAATACATTCAAAATGCATTGATGATCAAAATAGTATAATAGATATATAAACAGTATGAAAATAGATGATATTAATTAGAATATAGAGACTATATATGTCTCTGTTCAAGGAGAGCATATACATGTACATGTATTTGAAATCAGCATGCAACTAACCTTGATAAGTATTTTATACTTGAGTGATTCTGGAGAAGGAAGGCCTCCTGAACTCCCTTCAGGTGGGCTTGAGATGATGAGTTGATCTGAGACGCATGGCATGTCAAGGAAGATTAATCAACTCTGCATTTCCTCTCCCTAGGCCTCATACAAACATGATGCAGTAAAATTTCTTCAAAAAGACCGCCATGGAAAAATAAAAACCATGCTTGTGCTAATGAAAGGCAAGAGGGGAGAAATAAACTAGCTGCATGGAACAGAGGCCCCTTATAGCATACTCCCTCAGGTAGTAGTGTGATAGAAGGAGAACACAGGAAAATGAGGAGCAATACATGTTCAGTATGCTTATGTCATCATCAGCAACAGGCTTTTTGTTTAGTAGTAATACTAGTAGTAGTGGTGGGGGAAGTTGTAGTTGTTAAATTTAGATGTACTTACAGTTATTTTTAATATTTGCTTTATTTCTCCCCCTTTCTTTTTCAATCCTAATTTTTCTATGCACTTAGAGGCCCGAATTCACAAAGGAGATTTGTCAACAAACCTTAGTTTTTGTGCGTCATATGACGCGTTTTGATGCGTTTTTTACAAACCAGATTTGTAAAAACGCGTCGGTGCTTTATAAAGGTTGCATATTACTATCTATCATTCCTGTGCAGAGGATCGACATTCATCCCGGGACCATCATCTGTCCTAGACCCAACTCCAGATTCCATCATCCACAGAACTCAAGATATGAGGTTTCTGCATGGTCGAGTGGATATGTCACCGGACTGTGGATCACAAGGTCTGAGGTTCAAATCCCGCCGCGGGACTAATGTCCTTTGGCAAGACATTGATCTACATTTGCCACTCTCCACCCAGGTGTTAAATGGGTACCCGGTAGGATGCGTAAGTTAATGTGATTAGATGAGCAAGTGTGCGCTTGTAAAAATGATGCCTGGCTGGAATGCTCCCCAGGGAGTGGAGAATATGCATACATCGTGTGCGGCTAAACCTGAATCAGATAACCGGGGTAATAATATATATCTGTAAAGCGCTATGGGAGGGCCTTCGGTCCTGAAAATTGCTGTATAAGAACAAACTATTATTATTATGAAAAGGATACCACCGAGGATCTCTAGAAGGTATCGAGCCATCTTCTTCTGCTGTTCCAAGGTACAGTGATTCTCTATGGACAGGATGACGGGGTAGGGACTGGACATAAAGGCATACTTGTTGACCACTGTGATGACATCTCGGAACTTGATCTTTGAGGTCAGCGTGTAACCATGGTAGATGACCGGTTCACCGTCCTTCCCATCCCATGTGTCCACTAGGTCAAAATGTGGATAAAGAGTTATGAAAGTAAAGAAACATGTGTAGATGTACTATCTAACCTGTTAATCAGTATTAGTATGCAAAACTGAAATTATACAATATTTTTGACCATTTTCTGAAACTTGAAAGCAAGAAATGTTGTTAATTACAGTGGCTTTACAAGAAAAATAGCCTCTTTTGTTGAAATTTTACAGTAACATCCAATCAAACTATATTTGTACAAGTATATACAAAAGCATGTATATGTATACACACTTGTAAAAACTGGTATAATCATGAAACAAAAAGGTCATACTTCACATATTGCTATTATTATGTACAATATTTTGTTTGACTGGCAGTGTTTTCACATCTTCTGTAGATGATGCTTTTTCATTCATTCAATCTCAGCAGACAAGACCCCTTCAAAAGTAGTCTTGGATTCTTGGCTCTGTTTCATTACAAGTGCCACAAATCTATGACAAATTTGCTTATAACAAATATTGTATCTTTGTACCAGGTTTATGAAACAGGGCCCTGGTAGTACAATTGATTCAAATCAAAAGAAACTAATCTGTTGATCATGCAGTATGGGGGTCATTAGCAAAACAGTAATGTGAAAAGAAAGACCAAAGTTTGAGCAAGAGGGACAAGAAGAGCAAAGAATCTGCTCATTTAAAATACTGTAATGATGCACCCCTGCTTCTAATGCACATACAGTTAAAAACTAAATTAATCATATCCTTAAAAAAAGTTTTAATTTATTAAGTATGTGAAAAATTGATTTGTCATGATTTATGTTTCTTGAGAATGTGACATATTAAAGCTTATACATCCATTGTCCACCTTACATTTTTGAGTTGCAAAAAACATCAGATTTACTGGTGTATGAATAATTTCATTTCATTGACAGTAGTCGATGGGTCAACTGCATGTCAAAGTTTACGTTATGAGTCAACAACCTTCCGATTCTAAACTGATAGGTTTCAACAGATATTCTATTTGTCTGCGTCATTGCTTACATTCCACACATCTGCAGCCAGCCTGCAGGACGAGACCATAGACATCCACACTAGATTGTGACATCAGCTGGTCACCGAGTAAGTATGTGTTGTGTGAAGAGGCGATGTAGTAGTGTGAAAGGGGCTGGGTCATGTCCTGGTTGACCTCTCGATGACCTGGGTTGAAAAGGTCACCCTCCTCACTCAGGAGGTATCTCATCAGTCCTGGAGAGAGAGAGAGAGAGAGAGGGGGAGAGAGGGAGAGAGAGAGAGAGAGAGGGAGAGAGAGAGAGAGAAAGATAGAGAGAAAAAGAGATAGAGGGAAAGAGAGAAAGAGAGAGAGGAGAAAGAGAGTGAAAGAGAGAGAGGGAGAAAAATTTAGAGAAAGAGAGAGAAAGAGAGAGTGAAAGAGAAAAAGAGAGAGAGAGAGAGAGAGACGGAGACAGAGGGGGAGCGAGAAAGAGATAAATGTAATATGAGAGATAACTAGAAGAAAAGAAATACCTTCTATGTACATGTTCATGTATCTAATACAGTAAGTAAATATCCTAATCTATAAACATGAACAGGTATTGTATATTGACAATTATAATAGCTCACGACCTTCAAATGTCTTCACAGTTCATTATGCCCAATTATGAAATAGTAAATCCAATTAGTGCAATATGCACCGAAAGCTGCTATTTTTTTTTAACGCCATGCACGTAGTGTGGTTCATTGTATGTGATCAAGATTTGAAATGTGTGTGTCTGTGATATAAAGCCATGTAATAGCTACTCTATACATATACATATACTATATGTATATGTATAAAGTAGCTATTCAAATATGAATTTGAGTTTATGAAATCATCTTTACATAGAATTTTTCGAGAAAAAAATTGATATAGGAAATCAACATTTAGGTAGATTAAACCCCCTAAATGTTTATCAAAATGATGAATATTTGACAAAGTGAGCAGTAGTAAAGGCCTTAAATCAATGAAAGAGTTGGTATTTTGTGGATACAGTTATAAATGTAGGTACATGTAAAACATATATGTATTCATGGCATAAATACAGTGTAGAACATTAAGGAGTTACATTTGAATTTTCAATGTTTGTTGAAAGGGTTTATTCATTTTTGTTGGATACAGTACTTGATTGTACAAGGGTCAACATGCCCACATCATGAACTGTTGCTGTGTTACGAACACAGTACAAGCATTCAATCGTTTTGTGCATGAAGGACCTCAAATTCAACTACATCTAGACATTGATCCATCAAAGGCAACAAAGCGTTTCAGAAAGTAATGAGTTTTTTCCACACTTCATCAGGTTTCAGTATTATAACAAGGTATTCAACCAAGAAACTAGAATGATTATCACATCATGGATCTTGGACAAATAAATTATACAAGGATGACAGCTTCTTTGTACACACACTCTTTCCACCTTTGTTTGTTTGAAATACTGGTAAAAAAATAAAAACCTGTTAGTATTTTACCAATTTCTCATAGATTTTACTTTTTACGGTATCTTTTCATTAGTTGAAGTTACTACTGCAGGAAATGATTAAATTGTACTTCAATGAATGTATTAAACTACCCCATCTTCGACAACAAACCCCACGGGTAACAATTTAGCATGTTGCCCACTGGAACCCGGTGGTCCATGTGTTATGCCTATGGGTAAGAGAGAATTCATTAGTCAACAGATTAAAATTTTGTGAACTTACCATCAATGCCCAGCCTGCCAGTACAGATATTCTCAGGTACCGGTTCATACTTCTCAATGAGGCTGTTACATCCCTCCTCATTCAGTTTGTTAATATCCTGTTCATTCCTCAGAAACACATCCACGTCTTCCAGCGTCATGTGCTCCTTGCCACAGCTGTATTCCCTGAGAAGCCCATAGAGCTCAGGGCGCATCGACAAGGTCTTGTAGAAGTGCACAAACTCATCAAAGTCCAGCTTGCCCAAGTGCTCATCGATGTTGGTATCGGCTTCCTGTAAAGCAAGTTTGATAAACATGTATTTGTAAAAAAGGATGAGCAAAAATATTAATCATCCACAAATTTTAACAAACTGATTTAAACTAACTTGGCAGCACCTCAAATAAATTACTAGTAATAGACCTCCTTTAATGGAATAAATCTCTTATACTTGGCTCTTCTCTTCTGATATTACATACAACATGATATCACGATTCTAACCTAGTTTGGGGTGTGGAAGAAGTTCATTTTTCCAAGAATATTGAAGCAGTTTATTTGCACACTTTGTGTTAAAAAGGGGGCCTTTGGGGAAAGGAAAAGAGGCATTTTTGTGTTCCACTTAAAACTTGTGTCCCACAATATATCATTGGATCAGCTCAGTTATAATAGAGAGAGAAAGAGAGAGAGAGAGAGATAGAGAGAGAGAGAGGGGAGACAGTGAGGCCGCGAGGAAGGAGGGAAGAAGAAAAGAAGGAGAGAAAGAGCTGAGAAAAGAGCAAGAGGAAGAGGGAGACAGGGAAATAGAGACGAAGAGAGAGAGAGAGAATGAGAGAGAGAGAGAGAGAGAGAGAGAGAGAGAGAGGAAGTGAGAGAGAGAGAGAGAGAGAGGAAGTGAGAGAGAGAGAATAAGAGAGAGAGAGAGAGAGAGAGAGAGAACTCACCCTAAACAGTTGTTTGACTTTCCTCTTGCTGAGGTTAACATTGAGTTTATGAAGAAGTTTCAAGACTTCATCCATGCTGAGGAGGCCATCTCCACTCTTATCTGCCGACTCAAAGACTGATTTTAACCATGTTTGAATGAGTTAAGGAACAACAAGAGGTAGATCAGTATGAACTTACACATCGTCTGTCAGAGCCAGAAGGGCCTTAACTCTGTGTTAAAGCATATGTATCAATGCCATTCTGGCTCTCAGCAGACAACATGTACATGCATTCATGTATAAAGATGAAGTACATCTTAATGTAAAGGAAGTTTGAGAATTGAGAGATGTGTAGGAGAGAACTAAAAAAAGTAATTTGATTTGAACATTGATTTCTCCTGAAATATGTAAATACACTGCACATTAGATTAAGTTGCCAAGCCTTTTTTGTAAATATTATTTAGAAAAACTTGCAATTTGTATTGTATTGTGTTTAATAAATTTCATCATCAGCAATAATTTGATGTATTTAAAGGGCAAATAATAATAAGAATTAAAGAATAACAATAGTGTCTATAATGCAGAGAAAAAATAGTGCAAGTATGAAATGTATTATAAAAATAGTGATCTGCATATCATACATAGATGTAATAGCATCTTGCAGCCTGTATATAAGCATGGTGGATAATACCACTGATGATGAGTAAGATAAAACCAGTCTGCTGTCTGTTTGATCCCCGAGAGAGGTATTCATATCACTGAGCATAAACATTGTACCTCCAATGGTTTAATCTCGCAATGGATCTCAGAGTGTGTCTCTCCCATCTTTTGTCACCTCTCTCAAATAACATATACAACTCTATCCTCTTCATCAACAGTACTGCTGGACAATTATACTGTAAGGCTGGAAAGACTTGTACATGTACAATGCATGGACTGCACTATGTGGGGCTGGAGAGTACTCGTTGTCTTGCAGATCAATATTCTAAATTGTTAGAGAGAGAACCATGAGATGACTCACTCTTGTTATTATTTCTTCATGATGTACAACCTACAAGAATACCACGCCGTGTATGTGATGAAAAAGGGTAACAGATATATAGATGTGACTCAGAATTGACTTACGCAGTCGATACTCTGAAAACATTAAGAAAAATAAGATGACATTACAAACAAAAAGTCCCTGCAGAAGTTTGAATATACACATTTCATACTTGTCTACAAACCCCCTGGCATAGAAACACAGTAGTACATTTGAAATTACAAACTTTGTGAATACTGTACTTAAGGAGTATCAAGCACCACCTAGTATGACAATTGTGGTTTGACAACTTGACAACCAACAAAAACGCCACAAATCCCATATAAGAGCAAATAAGGGGAAAACGTGATTTCTCTATAATAGATGTGATAAAGTGCTCTTTGTATTAAAGATGATCTATTTCATTCAGTTCTCTTGAAATAAACTACAAGAGTGGTATGTATTGAAAAGCTTGGGTTCTCAACTTTCTGAAGTATTGTACAGTGTACATGCCAAGGAGGAAAAATCAATTTAATTGACTTGAGCTGACAGGTGACCAAAGTAAAGTCTAAAATAACTAAAAGGATATGAGTCTCTAAGCTGATCACTCTGTGCCGTCTCTTCCTGAGCTTGTTCCATGAGATGCCTGAGACCTCTGATCCAGGCCCGAGCCTCGTCTAACGACCCAGCGACGATGTCTAGAGACTCCCAGCTAGTACCATGGATGATGGAGAAGCAATGGCTGGGTTTATGACCTGCTGTACTGGCTAGGTGCTTCTTGAAGATGTCCGTGCAAGCCCCCTCTCGGATCTCACGAACATTCTTGATGTTGACTGCAATCAATAGGTATAAATGAATAATTTCAGTCACTTCTTAGCTTCATAAGTACGAAATCATATTACTCCAAACATTTGTTGTTTTTTTCTGGAAAATGCTTCCAATTAATTAACACACAACAAAAAATACTCTGCACCCATGCTATGTACCACACATGCAATTTTAATGAACTAAATCTTCCTTGAAAATAGTTTTCTATATCACTGAAAATTTTAACATTTGAGATCTGTTTTTCATTTTACAATAATATATAATCTACAAGTAATTTGCTATTGGGCAGTTTGCTTGCAGTTAAAAACTGTATTTAGTAATGTGCTCCATTAAAATTTTCTTCCCAAGAGGCAACAAAAAGGGTCAAATATTTTCTTTTTTTGGTGCTTTTCATCATTTGTCTCTTCTGCATCACGTTACCCACGACTTCACATAAACCTGGACCTGCCCTTGTTCCTACCTATAGCTTTATGTCCCTTCTTGGATGGTTTCCATCTGATGTAGGACCTGGTGCTATCAAGGTACAACATCTTAGATGAGGTACGACCTTGACGCTTGACCTTCATCACTGAACTCCCCAAACACATCAACGAGATGGAGCCTGAAATTAACAAGCAGATCAAAAATCAGTTACTAATTGTTATGATGATGATGATAATGATGATGATGATGAAGATGATAATAATGATGATGATGATGATGATGATGGAGCTGAAGATGATGGTAGTGATGAAGTTGATGATGATGAAGATGATTATGATGAAGATGATGATAACGGGGATGATGCTGATGTATAACAACTAGGTCATAAGATACATAATGGGTCAGTACAAACTTTCTGTGATTTAGATTAAACCATTTTGTTTTTCTCTACAAAAGGTCCACACATGAGCAAAACGTCATTAACACATGGACAACATTGACATTGACAACTACTAAAATACTATTGGAGTAAAAAGATGATGTAAGCACAGAGTTGGCTGTCTTACAGAGTGACACCAAAGCATTAATCTGTATTGATCCCAGGACCACCTTGTTATAAGACCACTGCTCTACTACTGAGCCATACCACCGTAAGATAATGTTATTTAGTGTAGATGATAAAGATGGGCTGCTGGTATGTCTGACTTGATGATGGGTGTGGTCCGAGGGGGATACAGAGAGAGTTAATTGATGATGAAAGCAGAAAATAGAGTTATACTAACTGTTGATATTAGGAGGTGGAGGTGCAGATGATGATGATCTGCTGGTATGTCTGACTTGGTAACGGGCGCGGTGAGAGGGAGATGGAGAGAGGCGTGGTGATATTCTGGTGGTGGAAGAGGATCGGCTGCTGGAACTCGCTGAGTCACCTGATTAATGACAAGAGAGAGAGATTCAATTTTACGCAGCAAACTATTAATTTGATTTGGTCTACTTGATTTATGATATCTAGAACATAAAAATACATGTATTCATTAATTCCAAGACTTCATACCAAGGTTGAAAAAAGAATCATTCATTGCTTAAATTAGGATTATGGAAATATTCCTGAAAGCTCAACATACTTTCTCCTTTTTATTTTTCCCAATTCTGCAGATGTAACTAAATTGTATAAGACTTTATTCTCTGTTATAAGTGAATGAAAATTTGAAGCATTTGTAAGTACTGTAACCAACAAGAAAATGAGATATTAGAAGAGATTTATGGCAAATAATTGTCCCTGCTCTTTTACCTGTTAACTACTGGATCGTCTCATTCCTATTGTATTAATACAGGGACCACTTAGACCATGTAGGCAACTAAAATATGAGGAGGGGGGGGGGGGGTCCATACAAAGGGAATATTACCTTCTTGGTCCCATGAATCTAGCGCATGTTGTTGATGGAGTTTATGAAGTGATTCTGATCTCTTCCTCGTCTCTTCCTCTTCATCCTCCACCACACCCTCGTTGTCAATGGTAACACTATCATCCTGGCTGATGATGATTTTTGTCTCTCGTAGCCCAACAGAGGGCCTCCTTGCGTCTCCTGGGATATTATTAACCTCACAAAGTTCATTTCTCTGTAATGACCTTTCACCTTTGACCTCTTCCTGCTGGGGGTCATCAAAGGATGAATCATTGGAGGTGGTGGAGTCGACGGTGGAGGTGCGGCTGACAGATAAATGGGTGGAGCTTTCACCCGTTTCCATGGTAATGATTGTCTCCTGACTTTGGATCTCTCTTGAGTCTTACATCTTCTGTATCTGTGACAATGAGAATTACATATTCCTCTCATTCATATATTGAAAATATGATAACTGCATTTCATTATGATCTTTAAAATCTAGCACTTTACATACAGATAGAAACAAGTAAATCTGACAAAAAGAGGCTGAAATCAAAAATGGACAGCGCAGAAGTGATATTGTCTGCTTATAGTGTCAGATTGGCCACTTTCTTCATGATTAATACCATTGTAAAATATTATGAGCGATAATATTACCGAAATGCATAATAGAGTCTGGAAATATATCCTGTAAATAGGGGAAAATCTTTTTAAACAATAGCCATCCATGGTCATAATACTTAAAAGTTGTGTTTAGACCTTGAAGATTTATTACGTGACATTTCCAGCCACAGACAAAAGGCTTTAGAAATATTAGTACTTGAGAGGTAGAGTGCTCTTCAACCAACATTAATGACATTGGTATTTTCCAATTCATCTTCAGACGGTAGAGCTTTTAAGAGCCGACATGTGTCGCTCTTCTTCAAACAACCATGCATGCACCAATTTTTGGCAAGGAACAAACAGCTTGGGGCTTGGAATTAGTACCTCGGAGAGAAGATGTAATACAGAGATATTCTAATCTTGCCAAGGTTACAATCTTGTATTTCAATGTGGGTTAATCTGTCAGTAATTTGATTTGGTCTGCTTTCACAAGAAGCATGTATGTAGGCTAATGATCTGCAGGTCCAAATATCACCGTCACTATGCATAAGTGCTAGCAATGATTGATTTCCATTTTTCAGCCTTTCAGGAAATATGTTTTTGTTTTATTTTTCTTAGTTTTATTTGATATCTTTGCAGGATATTCATATTCCTTATCTTCTTATATTTTATGTTTGTTTTCTTTTCCCTGACCCTTAATTTATTGCCAAATACACACAGGTGCATACAAATACAATTGTAAGACAACTTACTACCTACTGTATAATAATCTTTGTGGATACAAACTGAATAGGTTAAACAAACTCATAAAAATGATGTTGATTTAGTACACAGAGCATTACATTTCTTTCCTAATCTTTAAAGGGAAAGTCCACCCTGAAATTAAGTTAGTTTTAATAGGAGTAGAAAAATGAGAGAAACAAGTCAGTGAAAGTTTGAGCAAATTCCAATTGAAAATAAGGAAGTTAGGATTTTTGAAGTTGTGATCAATCAAAAACAAATTGGCAACTCTATGACGTATCATGCGAGCTCAACTTCCATTTGCTCAGTACTAAAAAAATCTAAAATTTTCATTTTCCCTCAAGAAAAATTTCAACCATACATGCACCCTAAATATAATAATTGCAAATATGTTTCTATACTCCCCCTGCAAGGAACAAATATATATTCCGTCATCAATAACGAAGAAAACATGATTTTATGGAATATTATGCACAAAGCAAATGAAGGAGAGCTCGTATAATAAGTCACAGAGTTGCCAATTTGTATTTGATTGATCACAACTTCAATAATTCATAACTTTCTTATTTTCATTCAGAATTTGCTCAAACTTTCACTCACCTGATTTTCTTATTATTCTGCCTCTATCGAAACAAACTTATTTTGGGGGTGGACTTTCCCTTTAATAATAGGGCTTGTAAAAAAAGACGATCATAGTAGCAGTATTATTTGGTTGCTGCTCCTATTGAACATGAAGTGGTAGTCCATGCAGGCATGCTTTTATAATGTAAATATTATTATGATGAAGATCATGATCGATGAAGCAGACTGCATTAGGTTTCTCAATCATTCCTTCATGCGTGACTAAGCTATCCCTGGTGAAGGATGGTTATAGTGCAGAGTCACTTTATCCATGTTAAATTTCCCAGGTGGCCAATGTGACTATTTATTAATTTTAAACAAGTATCAGTTGATCAGCAAATTGTTGAGTTATATTGCGTTAGAGAATGATTCCAATGGAATTAGGATTACACAATTGTCAGGATTCAGTGTTTTATCCTGTCAAGGTACATTGCTTGTAGTTTTAATCTTGTTTAGATATAAAAGAAAAACAAATCTGTTTGTTTACTAGGTAATATGAGGGCAAAGAAGAAATTGTAGCACTTACAACACCACACACACCAAATCAAATAACATATATGTTGATCTCTCCTCTCTCTCAAGCACTGTGCCTCCACAGACATCTCTGTCCTTTTCATTTAGTCCAAAAGACTTTGGTAGTTTCATATCTTAGGAAGATTACATACAACATAAACAATGTTAAACATCATAACCATAACTATTGAGTTGTCACTGAGAGTAAAGAAGAATGAACAGGAGGGAAGAGGGAAGGATCAAAGAAAGAAAAAAAGATATTGTAGAGAAAAAGGAGGGTAGGATATATGTAGAGATAGAGAGAGAGGGAGTGGGAGAGAGAGAAAGAGAGAGAGAGAGAAAGACAGAAGATGAGGTAGAGGAAGGAAGATGGAGATAACTACAGAGAGAGGAAGGAAGTGGGACAAGGGAAATAATGGGGAAGGAGATATAGATGGGTGGAGAAAGAGAGAAAGAGAGAGAGAGAGAGAGAGAGAGAGAGAAGAGAGAGGGGGGAGGGAGTTTGAGTGGAGGGAGGGAGGGAGGGAGAGGGGAGAGTGGATATAAAATGGAAAGAGATAACATATAAAGGAAAAGGAAACATAGAGTAACAGCAACAAAGGGAGAGTGAAAGAAAGAAAGGAAGGAAGGGTGTTAAAAAAAGGTAAAATGGATTATGATCTAGCAATAAAATAAGATCTTTTACAAAATGAGAAAACATACTTAACATACTTTTTGGCAGAGTTTGGGGAAAGAAGGTATTCACCGCAGTGACGAGTTTGAAAAGAAATGCTGGAAATGTGCCAAAGAAAATGTAAAAAACGAGGGAGAGAGAAATATGACATAAATGAGACCCCTGGATGAATGTTAAATTGTAATCAAGGCTTTGTTACAGTTGTCATGGGATAGAGCAATACACAGGGTAAAATCATAATACTGTACTATCATACAAGACTATGACCGACAACAGTGATATAGGGGAATAATGGTACAGTGACATGCTGAGGATGAAAAGGAGAGAGAGGGTGTGGCAGAGAGTGTGTGTGAGAGAGAAAGGGAGAGAGAGAGAGAGAAAGGGAGAGAGAGAGAGATGGAGAGAGAGAGGAGAGAGCGAGAGAGAGAGAGGAGAGAGAAAGAGAGAGGGGGAGAGAGACAGAGGAGAGAGAGAGAGAAAGATAGGGAGAGAGAGAGAGAGAGAGAGAGAGAGAGGGATAGGGAGAAAGAACAAGAGCTTGGAGGAGATAACTAGAGACAAACTACAGGCACCTGGATATCGATGTTGTGCCATGTGTAGAAGGTAGATGACGAGAAGAGAAACTGACAGAGGAAAGAATAGAAAGAATGCCTTCCCACCATTGAAAGGCAGAAGTGCCTAAAATAGAAAGCTGAAATGCTCAATGGGATTATATCCATTCCAATCCCCTTGACGGCTATATTACCTCTATGCCAATCACCAATTACCCTCACCCTGCAATCACATTACCAATGGGTACATGTTTGAGGTGGCTCCTAAGGCATTGATGCGTGCAACCTGCCACATCTATCTTGTTTGTATTCTCCTCTTAGGTCTAGCTTCCTGTTTGCTGATGATGGTAATGATATTACTAACTGGGTGGGGGGGGGGGGGCAAAGTCTGTATGACACTTTTTGTCTGGCATGAACATTTTCTACATGTATGTACATATATATGTGCCCTTGGGTGTGGTATAGCATTGTTCCATAAAGTTAACATTATTGCAGGCAATCTATGATACAGTGCATTTAGAATGGGCAATTTGCATTTAGAATGAACAGGTATAAGAAAATTAACTGTCAATCAATGAAATAGAATTGAATAGAAAAAAGAAGAAAAAAATTGTAAAGAATATGATCGATTCTATTTATTCTGATAATTAGTATGCAAAATAACTGCAATAAAAGTCAATACAATCTATATCTATCATAACAATGAATTTAGATGGAAATTTTAATGGGGGGAATCTTGTTTTTAGTCATTGCATTTAAGACAAATTTGGTTCCAAGGGTATTGGGAGAATAGTCACTGAGTTAAAGGGAGAGTCACCCATATTAAGTCTGTTTTGGAAGTGGCACTAGAAAAAAAAAAATTGAGAACCAGATCAATGAATATTTGACCTGATTAGATTTAAGAAATCTGTGATTTTTTTAAAAATGCAATCGATCAAACACATAGGCAACTCTTTTTTGACCTTCTCTCCTAAACTAAAAACTCATAAATGTATATTTCTCCATAGCTAATTTTCAATCATGCATGCATCCTGAATATTATAATTTCAATATGTTTTATCCACTCCTAGGTGACAGAAAAAAATATATGCCTTCATCTATATCTAAGAAAATGGAAATTTTCAGATCATTTTTTGCCTTATTTCTATTTGTATTACCCTTTGGAATAAATACAAGTGAATTGTTAGCACTAAGAAAGGAAAGGGAGGAGCTAGGGACTAAAGTTATGCATTTATATATTTCTTGTAACATTATTGTTTGGGCATTTAAATAAACAACCTTAAGCAGTATTCATAATCCAGGATTGTAATTCAGTAAAGTTGTATAATCTTTCCTTGCAATGCAAAAGCAAACCCGATTAAAACACAATCTCATTTCCATAAAGTGTGTCTTTGTGGTATACAGAAATTGAGTGCACTGAAAACCAATATTGCACAGTATAACAAAAACAAGTTGTGCTGGCAAATTACCTCTTTTTCTATGCAAATCTGTCACACATTGACTGGATTTAGAAGTAATTTAGCAATGCGGTACAATCTAGACATTATTCCAAAACCCACACGGCCAATTCATGCACAAACGCTTTAGCAACCGCAAAAAAATGTAATATGAACGAGCTGATAAGTGACTGTATTTGTTGGCTTCCATTTCCCAACGAAATGACTCAATTGGATCGATTTGAGTCTAATGAATTAAGTGCAGTTACCTTGTATTTGT